GAGAGGGCAGGGTGCTGTGGACCCCACGATCATATTTCATTGTAGGCACTGACTGGACACTCCTTTTGGGAAGAAAAGCTGCAGTAAGTCTATGTCAAAATGTGTGTTTAGGCGTTAGGGTCTAACCAAGTTATGCTTTAATGAGAAGAGAGAATGGGAAGGGAGTGAAAGGCAGAATCAGGTGAGAGTGGCCTTTAGAGAAGCTGGAGAAGGAAGCCGCCCAGTGAGTGGTACGCACAGACAGCACACACCGGGGAGGGTCAGAGCGTCAAGCTGCTCACCGGTCCCTATGGCTGGTGTCCTACCATCTGCATTTTAACTTCTCCACATTTTATGTCTCGGTGCTCCCAGCATAGCGGCAGAGGAGGGCTGAGGTCCAGGGGCAGGGGATTGGGAGCCCCCAGTGTGTGGGGCAGGCAGGCCTGGCACGGAGGCTGGGAGGGCCATGTCGGCCTTTGTTACAGCACCAGGAACAGGTGTCCTTGTCTCCTGCTGTCCAGTCCTGCTGTCATCGCAATTCCAGGCACAGAGGCCCCCCAGCATCCATTGGGAGGGGATCATCCTCCCAGACTGCAGTCTTATCTCTGGTCCAGGGGCCTGAAAGCAGAGCGGCAGCTTACAGAGAGGCCAGAATGGGCTGCATTGTCACCCAAAGCCACTGAGGGGAAAATGTGTTCATTTTGTTAAGTCCTGGGTTTTGCTGCAGGCATTTAATAGAAGCCAGGGAACACAGTAGTAGGTACATATATACATGTATACATATCTATAAATACATATGCACATATATTCTTTATTTATATATATATACATACACACATACACATGTATTCTTTTAAATCTTCCCATCAGAGAGGCCAGTCCCAGGAAAGCTCAGGGTCCTGGGCACAGCGCTGCCTGATGAGGGGCCTTTGATGGGGTCTAGGTAGCCAGCAGCCCACCTATGGGTCCTCACTGATGGCTGGCATGTGTCTGTGTGTGTAGGCGGGCACTCTGGCACCCCCACTGCCAAGGCTCCCTGCTGCACACAGGCCTCCGCCTGCAGAGGCTCTGGTCTGGCAGTGGAGGCCTGGGATGCTTCCCCATGGCTCCCCAGGCCGCCTTTGTCCTTCTGTCTGGGGGCAGAGGGGACACATGACTGACACCAACTATTTCTGAGCAGACTTAGCTACAGATCAGTCCTGGGCAAAGAGCAAAGCATTTCTGCTTTTATTCTTGCCTTTTGTGCTTGGTGGACTTAGGGACCTGCTGTAGCCACAGGTTAAGCTGTCTTCTCTGTTCATCACTACCTCTCTGAGTTCTTACCCGATTCTCTGTCAGAGGCTCTCCAGACACCTGGCACTCAGGAAATGCTGGTTGCTCATTCCCCTTCCTCCCACTCCCCATTCCCTTCCTCTCTCAGCACCACCTCCCTCCCGTCTGGACCCTGGACCCTAAGACTGAGGCTGCAGGTCAAGGGTGAATCTCAGGAAACAGGCCTCAGGGAGGAATCCCAACATGAAGAGCCGCCTCTTTCTACCCTCGTCTCCTGAGTCCCCGCTTCCCACCTGGGCTGGAATCTGAGGACCATCACGGCAGCCCTGTGTCCCTTCCCACCTGCCCCGGGAGCAGCAGCAGGACAGGGAGCCGCCAGGGCTGTCTCTGCAGATGGTCCTCTCTGTGGGTCAGAGCTGCTCCAGGAGATGGGGAACTCAGACGACTCACTCCTGCAATGCCCTGGTGGGCCTGCACGGCTGACACGGAGGTCACCCAACCCTCATATCTGTCCCTCTTCCACAATCCCCAGTCTTGTCACTTCTAGGCATTTGCTCATGCAGCATGTTTAGGGCTGTTAAAGCAGGACTGAAAGGTTCATTTCTACAGAATGAGACAAGTTTTCTGAGCTTTATGTATGGTCTTTCATTAGGAAAATTAGTCTTAGCCACATAACAAAATAAAATTGGTGATTCAATGACAGGTAATCACTTGCTAGGAATGAAAGATGCCCTTACAATGAAGATTTACTTCATGTTATTGTTTCCCTAAGCACTACTAACCAACTGAATAATGTTATAATGATCACTCTGATATTTCCACATGTGCTTTTAAGAATTTATAAAGTAATTTGTCTTCTGGGATGTCCAGGGAGATACTTGAATTATGCAGTTAAAACAGAAAAGAGTGGAGCTTCATCCCCTCCAGGGCTTCAGAAGGGCCAAAGAGGGGTCAATGTTTGGAGTTTGCAAAGTTGGGGGAGCAGACATGGGGAGGGTGGATTCACACACTGCAGACATAACCCCTGGATGGTGCCTAAATATCCAAGTCAGTGACATATGCAGGTTTGGAGACCACACACTCCCTCCCTCCCATGAGGCCAGAACAAGGGGCCTCTTACAAGGGCTTCAGGAGTTGTCCCACTGGGCCTGGAGAGAGGGTGCTGTCCAGACATTAGGAGGTCCCTGACATGGTCTGGGCCAGTCAATGAAGGACCTCCCACCAGGAAAACCCAAGTGATCCTGGCAGCCTCTGTAAGGATCAGGAAGTATGTGCGTGTGTGTGCACCCGCATCTTTACATGTGTGCGCATGGATTCATGCAGGTATGTACTGCATGTGTGACCATACACATATGTGTGTGTGTGTGTGTACACGCATGCATGTGCACCTGGGGCCTGAAAGGTGCAGGATATAAACTGAGCACTGGCCCCCAGAGATCTTTCTGGTATGGATCCTCCTGCATATAGGATTCAATCCTGTAAGCAAACTGATGGATCAGGAACGGAGGAGGTGGAAGGGTGCAGAACCAGAAACACAAGTTCTTCTGAGAAGGCATCTGAGCCAAGTAAACTGGCCTACTGATCACTCATGGCATGCTGCTGACTTCAAGCTGGTTTTCTCCAGACTTATTCTTTGCCCTTAAAAAAATATTTTTTTGTATTTTTTGTTATTGAGTTGTAGAAGTTCTTTATATATTCTGGATATTAATCACTTATCAGATATATGATTTAAAAATATTTCTCCCATTGTGTAGGTTATATTTTTACTCCTGATAATGTCCTTTCTTGCATGAAGTTTTTGTGATAAAGTCCAAATTCTCTATTTCTCTTTGTTGCTTTTGCTTGTGGTGTCGTATCCCAGAAATCATTGCCAAATTCAATGTCATGACACTTTTCTCCAGTTTTCTTCTAAGAGCTTCATAGTTTTAGCTCTTATGTTTAGGGCTTTGATCCATTTTGAGTTAATGTATGTGATGTGGACCTGAATAGACATTTTCCCAAAGACCATGAAAAGATGCTCAACATCACTAATTGTCAGAGAAATGCAAGTCAAAACTACAATGAAATGACACCTCACACCAGTCAGAATGGCTACTATTCAAAGTATAAGAAATAATAAGTGTTGGTGAGGATGTGGAGAAAAGGGAACACTTCTACACGGCTGGTGGGATTGCAAACTGGTGCAGCCCCCATAGAAAGCAGTATGGAGGTTTCTCAGAAAACCAAAAATAGAAATACCATAAAACCCAGCAATTCTATCTCTGGGAATTTACCCAAAGAAAACAGAATTCGCTAATCTGGAAAGATATATTCACTTCTATGCTTATTGTCATATTATTTACATTAGTCAAAATATGGAAACAGCCTAAATGTCCATTGATATATAAATGATAGAAAAGAGGTGGTACATATATACATGATGAAGTAGTACTCAGCCATGGAAAAGAGGAATCTTGCCATTTGTGACATGGATGGACCTAGAAGGTATTATGCTAAGTGAAATAAGTCAAACAAAGAAAGACAAATGCTGTATGATTTCATTTCTATGTGGAATATAAAAAGAAAATAAATAAACACAACTGAAATAGATTCATTAACACAGCAAACAGACTTTGGTTACCAAAGGGGAGGAGAGTGGGGGTATGGGTGAAAGAGGTGAAGGGAAAAAAAATTAGTGAGAGTGTTTGATATCTTGATCAAGACAATGGATACATGAGTGCACACACATGTCACACTGGATCAAGCTGTATGCTAAGATCTGTGTATTTTATTGTATTAAAGAGAGTTATAAAATTAAATATCATCCACAAAATGTTAATGCCATGGATTTTGTTGTTGTTGTTGTTATCATTAATCTACAATTACATGGAGAACATTATGTTTACTAGGCTCCCCCCTTCATCAAGTCCCCCCCCCGACACCCCATTACAGTCACTGTCCATCAGCGTAGTAAGATGCTGTAGAATCACTACTTGTCTTCACTGTGTTGCACAGCCCTCCCCGTGCCCCTCCACACTATACATGCTAATTGTAATGCCTCCTTTCTTCTCCCCCCCATCCCTCCCTTCCCACCCATCCTCCCCAGTCCCTTTCCCTTTGGTAACTGTTAGTCCATTCGTGGGTTCTGTGATTCTGCTGGTGTTTTGTTCCTTCAGTTTTTCTTTGTTTTTATACAATGCCATGGAATTTTAAAAGCTTTAATCAAATAAGTTAGGGAAATGATGGGATAAGTGAAAATAAAATATATTTCTTCATTTAACAAAGTAAGGTAGGCTCTAACTTCATTCCTTTGCATGTAAAATTATGTTTTATTCCATTTGAATGGCCTTGATACCCTTGTTGAAAATCCTTTGACCATATATGTGTGGGCTTATTTCTGTGCTCTTTATTCTATTCAGTTGGTTTATATGTCTGCTTTATGCTAGTCAGTTATTTCAAACAATGCTAATTTCAGTGATCCCTTTTCATCAGAAACCCTGCATCTCTTTGTATTGATTAAAAGTCACATAGCCTTCTCAGCTTTAAAAAAAAGTACTACCTAAAATATACTTTTATTTTTTAAATAACAAATAAATATATTGCTAGTTTGTAGAGACCCAGGGGGATCGGGTCTTGTAGACCAACTTCTTTTTTCACCATTTTTCTACAAATGCTGCTGCAGCCATTGGTGTCCTCATGCTCCCTCTTGCCGAAGCTGTCAATTCCTCAAGCTCAGCATTTAATTTATTTATTACCCATTCCATTGCTTCTCAGCCTTTATTAATGTTTGAAAATGCCATACTTGACATCAGTCCTTCGAGACAACTGTTGAGACTGACTCCTTTCACAGAAACTATGGCTTCTTGAGTCAGAACAGTTTTTTCTGGGTCCTGAGGGTATAGTTTGTATGTAAGTCTCTCATCTACTGAAATCATATTTGTAAATGAAATATTGGTAGATTTAAGTTCCATTGTTTTCTCTACAGGATCAGTTATAGAATGTTCTTGCACATATGTTTTGGTTCTTGCCACACCAATAAGAGATTTCACAGTGGAAGGTAGTCCCCACTCTGTGCTGAGAAATCTATGGCTGTGCAACTTTACAGAGGGATCTATATGTCTGCCCAATGCATCAATTCCAACCACACTTGGGTTCATAGGGTTTGGGTAATTTTGCATTGCAGCTGTTGTAACAGTTTCCCATAGGTGGTCAAAGACATGCTCTAAAGTTCAGATCTTCATGGTGCCGGCGACCTGTGTGATGTTCAGGCGCCACTAGGGCACAATGAAGCAAGGAGGCTGCACTTGCCCCTGCCCCAACCCCCAGCAGCCCAGCCAGCTGCACAGTGCCTATAATTTCCTTTTCTGGTAGTGTCTTTTCCTGGTTTTGGTATCAGGGTAATGCTAGCCTTGTAAAATGAGTTTGGAAGCATCCTGCCCTCCTTCAATTTCTGGACTGATTTTAGACAGATAGGCATTAACTCTTCTTTAAATGTTGGGTAGAATTACCATGAAGCCATCTGGTCCTGGACATTTTTCTTGTTGGGATTTTTTTCAATTATTGACTCAATTTCATTATTAGTAATTTGTCTATTCAGATTGTCTATTTCTTCATGGTTTAGGCTTATATGTTTCTAGGAAGTCATCCATTCCTTCTAAGTTGCCTAATTTGTTGGCATATAATTTTTTATAGAATTCTCTTATGATCCTTTTTCTTTTCTTTTCTTTTATTAATCTGTATTTTATTTATATCCACTCTGATATTTATTATATCTTTCCTACAAACCTGGGCTTTGTTCTTCTTTTTCTATTTCCTTAGGTTTAAAGTTATATTGTTTACTTGAGATTTTACTTGTTTCTTGAGGCAGGTCCACAGCATATGAAATTCCCTCTTAGATCTGCTTTTTTCTGCATCCCAAAGGTGTTGGAACATTGTGTTTCAATATTTTTGTTTCAAGGTTTTTTTTTTTCAATTTCCTTTTTGATTTCTTCATTGACCCATGGCTTCTTTAATAGCATATTGTTCATTCTCCATGTTTTGTGTTTTTTTCCAGTTTTCTTCTTATATTTAATTTCTAGTTTTATACTGTTGTGACCAGAAAAGATGTTTGATGTAATTTCATGATTTCAGTTGCCCTAAATTTATTGAGACTTATTTTGTGTCCTAATATGTGATCTATCCTGAAGAATATTCCATTTGTACTTGAAAAGAATGTGTATTCTACTCTTTTGGATGGGATGTTCTGTATATATTTATTAAGTTCGTCTGGTCTAATGAGTCATTTAAGGCCAGTATTTCCTTACTGATTTTCTGTCTGAATGATCTATCCATTGATGTGGGTATTAAAGTCTCCTGAGTTTGATATATTTTAATAAACTTGAATATTCACTTACATTATTATACAGCAATCCTCTCATACTTATTAACCCAAGAAAATTGAAACATGTCCACAAAAACCATTTACATCTAAATTTAAAAGAAGAAAATAGCAAAGCTTTAAACAAGTAAATATAAGAGAATATTTCAGGACCTTGAAATATTCATACTAGTAAAAAATTGATCACAATACAATTGCCTATCAATTGGTTAATGAATATGCAATCTTTGATATATACACACCACAGGATAAAGTTGTGTTATTTGCAGACAACATGATTATTAACATACAAAAGCCAGAGGAATCTATGGATAAATTTTGAGAATAAGTAAGTGAACTTAATAATTTTTTTGGACACAAAGTTATTTTCCAGTTGTATATAGAATATGAGATATTTTTATTTATCATCATAAAACAAGTGGAAAGTGAAAATTAAATTATTTGACAATAAAAAAACATTTAAGTTCTTAGAAATAAAGCTGAAAAACATGCTCTTTGCTAGTTAGTGAACTATAAACCTTAGTGAAAAAAATTAAAGACCTAAATAAATGGTGAGTTATTCTATATGCATCTATTGAAAGCTTTGACATTGCTAAGATATTAGTTCTCCCCATATTGAGTTGATCTCTAGATTTAATGCAATTGAATAAAAATCTGAACTCTGCGTGTATGTGTGTGCGTATTGTCATGTTTATCCTGTAACTGACATGAAAATGAGAGGGCCAAAAATAGCAAAGAATATTGATGTAGAAGGGCAAATGTAGTGGACTTCTACTGACAGACATTAAGACCTATGATAAAGCTATAATGTCATATCAAGAATTAATTAAGTATGTGTCTTTATATTTAGCTAATATAAAGCTATATCATATCATAACCAAAAATGAGATATCACCACACACCTGTTAGAATGGCTATTGTCAAAAAGACAAGAAGTGACAAGTGTTAGTGAGGACGTAGATAAAAGGAAACCCTCACGTACTGCTGGTGGGAATGTAAATCGGTGCAGCCACTGTGGAAAGCAATATGAAGGTTCCTCAAAAAATTAAAAATAAATCTAACATATGATCCACCTATTATTCCACTTCTGAATATTTATCTGAAAAAAAATGAAAACATGAATTTAAGAAGATATATACATCCCTATGTTCATTGGAGCATTGTTTACAATAGCCATGATAGGAAAACAACAAGATATGAAAATGTCCATCAGTGTATAAATGGATAAAGAACTTGTACATATATACAATGGAACATTACTCAGCCATGAAAAAGAATGAAATCTTGCCATATGTGACAATGTAGATGGACTTTGAGGGTATTATGTTAAGTGAAATGTCAGATAGAGAACGACAAATACTGTATAATTTCACTTACAAGTGGAATCTAAAAAAACAAAACGAATAAAAGAAAACCCACAGATACAGAGAACAGACTGGTAGTTATCAGAGGGGAAGGGGACTGAGGTGTTGGAAAAAAGGGTGAAGGGGGTCAATTATATGGTGGTAGATGGTAACTAGACATTGTGATCACTTTATAGTATATACAAAATAACAGATTATTATTTTGTACACCTGAAACAAATATCTTACATACCAATTTTACCTCGATAAATAACAAAAGAAAAAAACACACACTATAGAGCTCATTATCTTCCCAGAATTCTCCTAGAAGGATCTAATATACACTTCCTTAAGTCATAATTTGGCTGAGGCTCACTGTGAAATCTCCAGGATGAATGGGAGGAAGATGCTTTCAGTTTGTTGTACTCTCTTTACCCACTGAAGATTCAAAATCAATTTTAGCCCCACAAGAGATGTGGAAGAGGCAATTGACCTGATTATCTACAAATATCCCAGATCAGAAGGCAGTGTCTTGTAAGTAGCAACCTGTCCCTGCCCACGGGACGAACGTGGGGTGTAGCCGGAGACGCCTGCAGAAATGAAACAAGCAAGGGACACAAAGAATGACCAGCAAGACAGGATGTCTGATCAAGCTGGCACAGTTTATTGTTTGCAGGCTCAATTTATACAGGTTAGCAAGTAAGGGGTGGGTCAAAAGACAATTGGACTTTAGGTGGCACTGGCGGGAAGGTGTAGAGGGGTGATTGGGCTTTGGTTGGCGCCGGCGGGAGCAGAGGACCTGAAAGAGAAGCGGGAAGTATGCCATTTTGTGGGTGAGGGCCCTTTGGTCTCTGGCATCTCCTCCCTTTCTGTTTTTTAGGAGGGGTTGGAGCACTACTTAGGGTGCTTTGAGCCACTTATCTTCTGGGTAGATGGTGCCTGTCTTAGGTTTAGAGGTCTTATACCTGGCCTCTGTTTCCAGGAGCTTGCCTCCTTTCGGAGTCGGCCTGGTATTTTCAGGGGAGCTTGCCCTAATACTGGATCGGCCTGTACATACAGGAGCTTGCCCCAGTATTAGATCGGCCCTTTTAACCAGAGGTCTTATATCTGTCCTATATCCTTGCAGGTATATCCTCTTAATTACCCGTCATTGACTACCAGTCTTGACTTTAGATCTTATGATTTACAAGTGGGGGGGCCGGCTGCAATTTCAAATAGTGCAGGTCTCTTAAGGCTTGTTGGATGAGTTTCCACATGCTGCAAAGGACATAAGGCCTTAGTAACAGCAATAGAATACATAAAATGCTTAGGGTTAAGAGAGGTGTGACAGCGTGCCAGACACTATTCAGGGGTTCTTTGAACATGTCGAAAGACAGACATAACTTGAATATATATATAGGTTTTAACAAACTACTAGTTAAATTGCATATACACATTAACAATAGGAATATAGATACATAACAAAGGCAGACTTACAATTACTAGTTATATCTAATGAAATTAAGAAAACTAGTTAGATAGCTTAGGCATTTGTAAAAACTTATTGACAATATGATGGATATCATCTAATTGATTTTGGGTAGTTTGAGAAAAATCAGACAAATTGAAACAGCACATTCTTGGAAACTGTTCACATCTTACATGCTCTTTTAACAGCAGACTGTCCACAGCAGTGTGATTCTGAAGCACTGCAGCTCACACTTCTCTCAGTTCTTGATTGAGTTCAGATAATACAGAAGCAGTCAAATTTGTTGTTTTGCTATATGCACAGGCCAGCTTAGATATCTCTTTCTGCATTCTAATGACAAGTCCAGGAACCGGCAGGAGGAATGCAGCTGCAACTGCAACAGCGGCAGGATCTCAAAGTTTCAAGTTTTCATGACAATCAGATGGCAGAGCTCGGAGAAGCTTCTTGCGCTTATATTCAGGTGGTCTATTAGAGCAGGAAGAATGCGTCCCACTTTAAAACACCTTGATAGTGTGAAGAAAGGGCTTGATATGTTTTGTTATTACAAAAAAATACTCAACCATTTGGAAGTCTATATCTAGAAGACCATTTTACAATGATTGAAGAATTACAATAAGAGGGCACATGAGTACAATTAATACATACACAATCAGTAATTATAGTAGTATTAACAGGTAAATTTAATTGGGCATCAGGAGCAAGCACTTTAGGGGGAAGTGTGATGTTTTTTGCCTGAGATATTAGTAAACACCATAGGAGAAAGTCTTATGCCTATTAAATTCTTCTTCAACAGTTCACTGATAGAGGAATTTCTTGCTACACAAAAAGATGACGTGCAACTTTTGGCTCATGAGTAGTTGTAACTACAAGTTAGGTGAGGAAAAATTATTTTCTGGAATGAGCGATCTATTTAAATATACCTAATTACTCTTATACAATATGACAGGAGTTCTTTTTTGAAGCTTTTCACAAGTATAACTGCCAATATCT